AGACTTAGGCTGTTTGTATGATCCTAAACTGTAGTTCAGTAAAAGTGATCATATGAGGAGCCAAAAGACTACATAATGCAGTCATTTTTTTTCCTTAATACAATGTAAATGTTATATAATAATGCAGTCATTTTAATCAGAGAAAAACGCTCATAAAATCTCTAATGTCAAGCAATGAAACTTCCTCGTGACATCTACAAGAGAAAGTATTACAAAACTGATGCCCCTAGATGGCTAAATAATTTGATCTATTGTGTAGCACAGGTAACCAAAAGTTGGTTGGACTGTCTTAACAATAATAGTTTTAACAATTTTAGTTTTGCTGCAGCTGATCTGAGGCCATCAATACTTCTGTCAGTAATTAAATCACAGGCCATTTGTCTATTTAACCTACTTCTCCCTCTCACTCTCTCTCTCTCTCTCTTTTTTTCTTTAGACAGTAAGTATCTTGCTCTATCATCCAGGCTAGAGTGCAGTGGCATGGTCGTAGCTCACTGCAGCCTCAAACTCCTGGGTTCAAGCCATCCTCCTGTCTCAACTTTCCAAGTAGCTGGGACTATAGGCGTGTGCCACCATGCCTGGCTAATTTTATTTTTTGTTGCCCAGGCTGGTTTGAACTCCTTGCCTCAACCTCCCACAGTGCTGGGATTATAGGCTTGAGCCACTATGCATGGCCTTAATCTGCTTCTATCTCTGAGTCAAAAACATATGCAACAAAGTTCATTCAATTTCCATTCTGTTTTTTACAAGAGAGGTAATAGAATACCGTATCCAGTTTATACTAAGGTAGTATCAAGTTATTAAAAGCCAACTTAAAAATAAGGAAGAAGGGAGGTACAGGATATATTTATATACTTTCTCACCTTTCAAGAAAGAGGTTATTTTTATGAATTCTAATTCTTACATTGGTTTTGAGTTTCAGTTCTGTATAAGCATAAATAGCTACAAAATAAAACTGAGTTCATATAACTTAGCTCACAACTGATACATGTTTGAAGAATTTTCAAGAAAAGATGCAAATATGTAACGAGATGTTCCTAATGAAATTTTTCACAAGACGATAAAATATATATATTGCTGTTCAGTACTAGAAAAGCATGCCTAAAGTCTGTTTTTTTCTCTGCCTAAAATCTGCTCTGGAAATCCTGAAATGATAATTAATCAGCAGGAAACTGCTTTTTAAGTGGAATAATTTATAATCTACTAGATTTATGATTTTGAGGAAATGAAAAGTTGCCCCTTAAAAAAATGAGATAGAACAAATTCTGGGGCCCATCTGATAAGAAATAATTAAGGCAACAGATTGGCAAGGCTCAGTGTCCTCCAAGCAGACTGATCTTTTGACAAGTTCTGGGAGGCACAATGAAGAGTGCCCTGGACATAAAGGATGGTGACCACTGGTCTTACTGTACTAATGTCATTTATTATACTTTGCTTTGTATCTCTTTAATATTCCTGAACTGGACACTTTTTCCCCTATCTATTCAGTCATTGGCCTTAACTTATTAATTCATTTCATAAATATTTATTGAGTATTCTTTAAACATTATAGGTACCAAAATGGATGAGCCACAAATCTCAACCTTAATGAGCTTACAGTCTGTGCTATTGATGGTAAAAGATGTTCTGCTCAAGAAAAATATCCCTCTTTGTTTTTTCTGTGTTATGCCTGAGAATCTCTATTACACAAAACTAGGAGATGTTTTTTTTTTATTACTCCTGGGAATTAACATGTCTGACAAGCATAACTAGCACAGAATTATATTAACAAGTTTACTCAACAAAAGGAACCATATTTACCATTTATTCAGGGGCTGTTATGGGATGCTGGTAAACCTATTCTCTCGGAGGGTCTGTCACCTCACTCAGAATGGCTTAAGTTTCAGGTTTCCTTGTACCTCGGCAAAACTTCCTATAACACGCCACTTCTGGCTCTTGGTTAGTCCAGCATTTTTCAACTTGATGTTTCACTCTAGCAATAATGTCCTATATGATCTTTCTTCTCTCTCCAATCTATCACATATAGTGTCTATGGATTAACACTCTGATTTCATCCTGCATTAAGTTGTTCAGAAAATTCCAGGGATTGCACATTTGCTGTAAACTCTTGTGACCAGACAGAAACTCCCCCCATACTATGCCTCCCCTTACTTATCCAACCCCACCTCTTATCACTCCAAATTAATTATACCTCAAAATTTTGAGGATTTGCTCCTGCAGTTCTTCCTGTTGGAAAGCCTTTCCCTTCATCCTTACATTTCATGTTCCATTTAAATTCAGCTCCTTTTGAAGCCCTCCCCAATTGCTTTTCCCATATCAATTTTCAGAAATTAGTGCTTATTGTCAGCATAGTTCTTTAGGACTTAATCCTGTATTGACTTGGATTGATATTTAACTGATTCCCCTTTGCAACTTCTCTTTCCAACTAGATTGTAAAATCTACCCAGAGAAAGGGGTTCACCTTAGAAGTTATTCTTGTGTCTCCTCCTAATTTTAGGGAGTTGCTATGCATATATTTGATACTCAAATACATTTAAGAAATAGTTGTGGAATGAATAAGTTACTCCTGACTCCAGTCATGTTTTTTTTTTCGTCCTTTACAGTTGTTGCCTGCCTTAAGTCATGTGTTTTCTCATCTCAATGTTTTTCCAACCACAACCAACAGAAAGACATTGCTTTTATATTGTTACCTGATGTGTGTGTGTGTACGGACAACTGAAACCAAAATTTCCCAAAACAATACATATGAGTACTTACCCTCTGCAATGTATTCTGATGTTTTCTATTCTATTTTTTAAAATACTGAACATGATAAATTGATTTCACCATCACTAAAGGATTATAACTATAGTATAAAAATACTTATGCTCCTTGTATTAATAAGAGGTATATAATATTGCTCTTGAAAAATGCTTAAAACAAAATACTGCTTGGATTGCTCATTCTGTTCCTGACAGTCTGAGCTTCAATTTGACCTTTCCATAGTTATCTTGAGATCACTTCTTACCATATTCCACCATAGCACTTGGAATCAACTCCTCCCCATAACTTTTTCCTTTTGCAATCTGGGAGACAGTTAAATAATGATGCACAAAGTATCCTCCAGATTGCTATTTTTTTATGTTATTTTGACAAATTTTAGTGGCATATAAGTAAAAATTTCCAGGCCTAATTAGTAATCAAATGATTTGCAGAGGAATAAAAATAGAGATGGTCATATTTTTGCTTCTTGACATAGCTTAAGAGCATGACTTCTGTTGCCTGACAATCCAGAATCTGAATTGTAGCTTTGTCAATTACTTAAACTGAGCCTCCATTTCTGCATCCATACAATGGAAATTATAATACCTACTTGGGGAGGGGTTAAATTAAAGCATGCTAAGTAAAGAGCTTGATACACGGCCTGGATGCTCCATGAACAGAGACAGTGCTCCATGAATGGACACAGTGCTCCATGAATGGTAATAACATTTTATCACTATAACAAATAAGTAAATGTATCTCAAACTTCCTTTTTGGGTCATAAAGTAAGGTTCAGTCATAAGAGCAAAAGTAATATTACTTTTTCTCTTTAAATATCTATTTTTTGAAGGTGGATGATTTAAAATATAAAATATCACTACTGGTTTTATATATCATAATACCCTTAAAGAAAGGTTCCATTTGTCGTGCTGGATAATCATTATATTTAATATAATAAGGAATGTCAACTACAAAGACTGAGTATATATATGCAACAACTTGCCTCAACATGCTAATCTCATTTAGATTTGCTTTTGCTTAATTTTTTTTTAACACCACAAACGTTCTGTTGGTGAAGTGTGCTTTAATTCCGTTAAAATACTGCACTCAGTACATACACACGACACAAGATATCCTGTATATATAGGGCTGATTTTAAACAAAGCCAGACTTTTTCCTTCTTTTTTCTTTCTTTCTTTCTTTTTTCTTTTTTTTGAGACAGGGTCTCACTCTGTCCACAAGGCTACAGTGCAGCTGCCTCATCACAGCTCACTGCAACCTGGAACTCCTGGGCTCAAGCAATCTTCCTGCCTCAGCCTGGGGAGGAGCTGGGACCACAGGTGGGAGCCACAACGCCAGGCTGTTTTAAAAATTTTTTTTGGTAGACACCGGATCTCGCTGTTGCTCAGGCTGGTCTCCAATTCCTGGCCTACAGCTTCCCTAAGTGCTAAGATTATAGGCCTGAGCCACCATGCCTGGCCCTAGTTGCTTTTATATTCCTTCTTACCACGTCATTCACACACTTACCTTACCTACATCAAGCTACTTCTAGGGTGTTTTTGATTGCAGGAGTTTGGCAGTTAACAATAAACAACTACTTTCCGTAAAACGTGTTAATATTTTCCCCCTCACCTGTCCAATTCAGCACAGCAAGACAGACAGAATATAGCGTCCACTGTCCATGAAACACTTGTCCAGCAGGCACAGGGAAATTGCAATCCTTTCAAAATTACTTAAGGGGAGTGATCAAGATTACCCTAGCCCCATCTCAGTCGTCTGCTAAAGAAAAGGGCTGATTTCTGTGTTGAGACAAAAGCTTTGACAATTTAATTGAACCAAAACTGGGACCTCTGGGGATTAACCTTCAGTCACATACACTCCAGATTGTGTGTGTGCATGTTGGGGGACGCGTGTGCTGAAGAAGGCGGAGAGCCAGAAACAGACCTGCAACAGGAGGTACAGACAGAAGAGTCGGCCACAAGCTGCAGTCTCCGGAGACCGGCAGACTCAGACACAGCTTAATTCCACCCCAAGAAAGGCGGGTGGGAGCGGAGGACAAGCCGCGTTCGAGAACCTGGCACCTTTCCACAAGCGCCCCGGACCCGGCCGCACAGCCTACCCCGACTCTGACCGGCAGCCGGGGGCGTCCAGACCCCCTCGGTCCACCACCCGTTTTCGTCACGTCCGGGGGCGGGCCGGGGTGCCGGGGGCGGGCCCGGGTGGGGCCAGGGGCCGGGCAGGGCGAGGGTGGCGTTGTAGGGGTGATTTGGGTGACAACGGTCAATAATGAAGGTGGCTGCGGCTCGGCGGCAAGCTCAGCTGCGCCGGGCGGGGGCGGCGCCAGGGCCGCGCCTGTAAGACCTCGGGCCGGCGCGGCGGGATGGGGACGCGGCGCGGGGAGTGAGGTGGCGACGGCGGCGACAAGAGGAACTTCAGCCTGAGGGTTTCGCCCGCTCCCCCCTCTGGTTTGTCCGCCTCCATCTGCAGCCCCTGGGCCCCCGCGCCCCGCGGGGCCGGAACGGCGACGACAGGGGCATGTGGCGTTGGGTCCGGCAGCAGCTGGTAGGTGCTTCCGCCCCTCCACCTCCGCGCGGCCGCCCTTGTGCGGCCTCTCGGCCCCGAGTGGCGGCGAAGGGCCGGCGGTGCAGGGACCCGGCTAGGCCGCAGCAGGGGCGGGCGCAGGCGCGGGGCCCGGAGTCCGGAGCCGGAGAAGCTCGCACAGCCTCGGCGCTAGTCTCGCCTCCAAGCCTGGGCCGCCGAGGCTGGCGCCGAGCGGCGGGACGCGGCCGCTTCCTGCCGGCGCTTCTCTCTTACTTCCTCCCGCTTACTGCTCCGCAGCGGCTGCGGCCAGAATTGGAGGTTCCGAGCGGGGTGGCTGTGCAAGCTGAGGAACCGGGGAGAGGGAGCGGAAGGAGAGCAGGTCTTGGGGAGATTAAAGAGGCTTGTGTTTCCTGCCTCTAATCATTTGGGACATGTCTGGTTGAAGGAGAGGAGAACTTGTCTACAGCCCCCAGTCGTCTAGAAGAGTGTCAGATTCAATGTTGTGTTGGTTAGCGAGGAAGAGGGTACCTTATCTAGTCTAATTCCTGTCAGCGAGAGGAATTTTAACCCAAGGCCTGAATGAGAGAAAGAATATTCCAACTCTCCGTCTGGTTTCGGAAAAGATAAGTATGATAGTTGTGAAAGACTAGTTTTCCTTCCTTCCTTGTCGTCAACCCCAGGTAAAACTTGGAATGTGAACCTTACTTTTTCCCGGTTCTCCTCAAGGCAGCTTGAACCGGACAGATTTGGAACCAGTGGTTAATTTTTCAGTATTACTGGAACATCTGGAGGAAAAAAATCTTAGAAAAGGGTGATCTAAGGCCTATAAAAAGCGCCACCTTTCCCAGAATTAATTCAGAGAGAAAAATATTTCCTGCCTCCTCGCAACTACAGCTCAGAAAGTACAGAACTAAGTACAGAACTGTGACAATTAGGACAGAAATTGGCAATTTCTGTTTACTGTTCGATTTCTAAATCGAATTAATTAAATGCTTCTACAATTCAGTGTTTTCCTTTATTAATTCTAAAGTCAGTGGTAAATCTTAGTGAAGCAGAAACTGTCTTTGTGGAACTAAAACATTGATTGATGCCTCTTTTTTTCTTCTGCTCTAGAAAAGCATTTTACTGTTAAGACTAAGAAGTATGGTGTTTCAGAGCCAAGCTTCTGTTACTTCATTTTGCAGTGGGCATCATTCTCAAAAAAAAAAAATCTTATAAATAAAATGGAACTGCCTACCACTCCCTCCTACAAATGTTGGCTCTCCATGTTTAGCTAATTGTAAATTCACATATCCCAGATAAATGCTTTATTAGGAAACCAAGCTAATGATGTCATTATAATTTCATATTGTTGTAATACTTTGGCTTTGTTGCAATAAGCCCTATCACGGTAATTTGACTCAGAAAGTTAATTATTACAGATTTGATCTTATGCTTTCGATATGCCACATCTTCATGTTTATAGAGGGCTTATTTGCCTGATGTTTTTGTGTGGTAGTAAGATAATTCTAAAGTGGTTTCTTAAAGCTTTTCCTGATAGATTAAGACACCATTCTCAGTGTTAGGTATTTTTGTTAGCCTGAATAAAATTCTGGTTGTATAACCACACTCATCTTCAAGACAGAAAATCTGCTAATGTTTTTAAAAATGGCTTCAAATGAACATAACTGAAAGGAAGGGCCAGAAGTTTTGCGGTTAATTTACAAGGCAGCGGCCTTACTGGAAGGGTTAACGAGTTGAACAAGTTGCTGTGCATAAAAAATGCTGTCTTTGACTTACAGTTGCTCACCTCACTGGTTTTAAGTTATCAGATCTTCTAACTATGTAATCAGACTTGTGCCAATGTAGGATTTTGTAGTTCTGATTAAGTTTGTATGATCATTTAAATTAAATGTTAAGGACAGCGGATACGCAGAGTAATGAAAGTTTATTTCACTATCCCAATCATAAACAGCTATTCTAGTTACAACACCAGAAATTATTCAGCTCAAAAAAAGTCTAGTTTAGATTATACTAACATTTGGTCAATGAAGTGAATCGCCATGTCTTTTAGCAATGGGTTTAAAATTCAGATAAATGGGACATATTTGGGGAAATTGATAAGCAAATTGCAAAGACAAGTTGTTGGGAGTTATAAGCATACTTTATTTATGATATGAATCCTGATTTTCAATTACTTACGTTGTTTCTTCAAAAAAAAGTTTGTCGTTTTATTACAGAAACAACTCCTGTGCTCTAGTAATTTATTTCTATTAATAATTTTTTTTTTTTTTAATTTTTGCTGGAATAAAAAACAGTCTCTGATGGAGTGGCTCCATTGGCCTGCCCACTGCCAGTGCCTGCCCCTCTGGCCTCGAACATACAACTATTAATAATTTTAAAAAAAGTTCGACTCCTTATCTCCACAAAATATTTTCGCTGCTTGACAAAATGGAAAAAATCAGAAAGTTGACAGAAGGTTGATCTTTTCCATTGGGGAAATGGGGTGAAAAAGAAAAGATTGGAATTTCCTTTTCTTTTTCTTTTTTTTGTTCTTTATTTTTTGGCTGACAATGTTAAAGTTATTTTATGCTAAAAAAATTCTCTTATGGTGTCTTTCTGGTAGAGTTAGTATTTTTCAGCATTATAATTTATGTATTAACTCATTAGAGATGACAGTACCTTATAATAGTGGAAATGCCATTAGCTACTCTCTGTATTCTAATATTTAGACCTGTATAGTAGCCATTAACCACATGTGGCCATTAAAATTTAAATTTCTGTGGCTATTGGCTACCATATTGGACAGTTCAGAACAGGACATTTTCATTATCACAGAAAATTCTGCTGGATAGCAGTGATTTAGACTTTAAGTGAAAGTTTTTGGCAATACATATTTTAATTGACATATAATATTTCTTTTAAAAAATTTTTTAGAGATGAAGTCTTGCTGTGTTGCCCAGGCTAGTCACCAACTCTTGGCCTCAAACGATCCTCCTGCCTTGGCCTCCCAAGTAGCTGAGATTACAGATGTGAACTGCTGTACCCTGCTCTCGTCATGTAATATTTCTTTACAGAGCAATGTGATACTACATTTTTAAAGCACTTACTGTGTGGTGGTATTAAAATAGGCTAAATACTGGGTATACAAATGGAGGTCAGTGTTACCCTTATTTGATAGAGTAGACACGGATATATGTTTGCTGAATAAATGATGAATAGGTAAGGAAAGAAAATCAAGCTATAGTACTATTTCTGTGTTAGAGAAAAAGTGACAAAATTCAAGATTGACTAGCCCAGAAAAAAAGCTAGAAAATGACTGTAACTATACAAAAATACAATATGTCATGCTAAGATAACTTTCTTAAATCATTTCATAAAATATAGTGCCTTCAGATTTGTATTGGTGATGGTGGAAGGAGGTTGCTAAGATTGTATTCTGAGTGACTGAGAAAAATGGAAAGGTTTCAACCTGAGCTCCCTCAGCTTTCTACTCTCTCTCCCACTCACACTCAACAAACTTGCTTATATCTATACTTACTTCTTCTTTTCTTTCCACCTGTTACAAGGAAGGTGCACGCCTCCTCTTTTTCAGGCTAACCAGTCCACTTGTGCTTTTGAGCCTGTTCTTTCATCCTGCTCTCCACACACCCCATCAATTATCATCTGTATGTTTGTTCTCTTTCTCTTTTCCTTTAACCTGTGAACATGTTCAAGCCCTTTGCTGCTATCTTACTTGATCCCATACCTGCAACTGCCAAATTTTTAATTTTCTGAAAAATGGGTCTGTGCTACGTAACTGTTGGCTGATACACTTGAAATGTACCTAGTTTGAGTTAAGATATTCTGAAGTATAAATACACACATTAGATTTCAAAAGCAGTATGAAAACATGTAAATCATTTCAATTTTTATTGGTTACATGAAATAATATTTTGGATATATTAGGTAAAGCATATTATTGCAATTTTATGTGTTTCTTTCACTTTTTTTAAAAATGTGATTACTAGAAATTTAAAAATTATGTATGTGGCTTACATCTTTGGTTCATGTTCTTTTTCTAGTAGTGCTGATATATAACATTAAAAGTGACCTCCTGTTTCTGTATAACACCATTATCCAAGTCTATATATCTCACTTACTAGAGTAGACTGTAAATTGGGGCAAGGACAGTATCTTATTTGTCTTTATATTGCACTCAAGACAGCAGCTGGCCCATTGTAGGTGCTCACCAAAATGCCGATTGAACAAATGAATATTACATTTAATTCAGCATCAGTTCCTAAGTACCTGCATTCTTTGCCTCTCTCCCAAGGAATGAATGGAGGAGTAGGAAAAGGCAGCACTGGCCTATGATGGTATCATTTTTGTGGGGCTAAGTAAGTTTTAACCTCAAGAATTAATGTTTAAGAACCTAAACCTGTGAATATGTGCTTCCCTATCTCTATAGTCAGACATATATTCTCCAATGTCAGTTTTCCTTTTTTTTTTTTTGGTAGAGATATGTTGCTAAGGCTGATCTTGAACTCAAAGAATCTTCCTGCCTCAGCCTTCCAAGTATTTATAGCTGGGATTACAGGCACAAGCCACTGGGCCAGCCCAGTTTTCATTTGGTTAGGGGGGGGTAAAACATTAGAGGAATCCCAGGTATTCCCAGTAGCAATGAAGTGAGGGACCTTGTTCTAGATTCTCCAGAGAACCTTATGATTACCATTATTGTCATTAAATATTTTCTAGACCTATGATGTTCATATGGTATCCATATGTGGCTATTGAAAACTTAAAATATGCCTACTCTGAATGTGTTGGAAGAGTAAAACACACACTGGATTTTGAAGACTTGAGGGGGAAAAGGATGTAAAATATCTCATTAATAATCTTCTAATTGATCACATGTTGAAATTATATTGGATTATATAAATATACAAATATGTTGGGTAAAATAAGATATATTATTAAATTAATGTTTATTTTTACCTTTAATGCAGAAACTAAGAAAATTACATATGTGGCTTAGATAATATTTCTGTTGGATAGCACTG